GGCTAACTCTTGAAAATAGGGAAACCATTGTTACTATAATTGTTTTTTTGTTTTCTCTTAGGGTTGTCAGGGGTTTGGGGTTTGGGGTTAAGGGAGTTGGTATGCTTTTCTTATAAACTCTGTATGTAATAGGTGCTACTCTAAGAAATCTCAATGTCTTGACTAGCAAAGAGTGGCAAGTTGAATGATGGACAAAAAAAAAAAAATGTAGCCACTCCTTTATTTCTTTTGATACGAGAGCACACTTATGTTCTGTGTATTATTAAAAGCATTGTTGTAAAACCAATAAAAATAATGTTGGAAAAAAAAAGAGTATAACTTCAAAATAAATAAAAATGTAATCCTTTTGTGACCAAAAATGATCAAATATCAAAACAGAATTTTTCTTAGACATACTTTACTGTTATACAATAACAATGAAATTGGTTAATACGTTTTTAAGAATTGATTCACATTTTAAGCAGTTATAATAGATTATTAATCAATTCTTAATTGTTCCTTTGTGATAAGTTTATCAGACGTGACTCACAGAAGCAAAATGCAAATCTTGCTGTGAAAAGGGTCAGACTGATAAAAACCATTGTACAAGACAAACACACACAATCCAACTATTTCATTTTATGATACAAGGTTTATTATACTAATAAAAAGAAAACAATCTGGGCCTTTTTCAACAAGTTGCACTGCTGCACATAATTAACATTTTGTTGCACTGTGTCCAAGATGCTTTGCAAAATGTGGCTAAGCCCTGTATTATATTAATAGTCATTAACAATAAAAATAGATCATACTAATTATGTCCATTAAATAAAATCAGAGTCATTTATATTTCAGCCATATTTGCTTGCATTAAAAATGAGTTGAAATGTCTCATCTAAAACTGGGCAGGAAAATGTATGAGAATCTGGTTATCAATCTGTCCAAATGGCACCGATTCATTTTTGTCAACACATGACTACAAGAACCACAGCATCACTCCTCTTTAGCATCCCACATATAATCAAGTTGACAGTATAAAGATGCTGATGCACGACTGCACCATGTCAGCTGCTCATGGGATGCAATGTGAGCTCAGCTACAGTGAGAGGTGCCCGGCTCCTCAGCGTAATTACAGCCTCAGCGAATAGTTTGGAAATGACAGGCAATTAGTCCCTTAGACAGCATGGCACAGAGGAGGACACTTACTTCAAGCATGGATAGCTACTAGAAGTGCAGATCAAAGATCCATCACAGTGACAACAAGCAGATTSATGATCATTGTAAACAAAACAGGTGGCAGAACAAAACTCAAAACTGGCAATCCAGCCAAATTAGCTCAACTTACGAGGTTTCCATAATAACACTTGAGTCTGGGGGAGATTGGACTAATACAAGCAGATTGTTAATTGCACTTTTCACAAGCACTCAGCCTTTTCAGATGATGTACGGTTCTAAAACAAAACCAAAATCTCCATATTGGCAGCGTGCACTGGCAGCAGTGTTACAGTGTCTCATTAACAAGCTGGACAGACTGTGGGCCAGTCCCACACCAGGACAGGAACACAACCAGGCAGCCAGCAGGAGAGGGGCACATGAAAAACAACAAGAAAATAATTTGGTTTTTCCTAGAAATGTCTGTGCACATTATTTCTGCAGAGTAATTAACATAAACTGGAGATAATATGGTATTTACGGTAGTAAGAATCATTGAAATTTCAAGTCACATTATTAAATGAATAAAATTAGACGATGATTTGGAGGCATACAGAGGATTAGAGGACTGGAATTTTCTTGAAATTCTGAAGGAAACAAGTTTTGCGCTTTATGTGAAACTTTCATAAAGTTATCCACATTATAGATCTACAACTGATTATCTTTTGAAGTCAAATTCAATTCACAAATAAATGACATTATCCAACACAAAGAATGGCTAAAACTGAGTCAGTTTCACAGACAGCTAAAGTTTGATGTGGTAGTAAGAATAATTTATAACACACACAATGAGCGTGACATCTGGCAATATTGTACAGGATTGTGTTTAATGTTATTTTCAAGTTTTGAACAAAACAGTTTCAACTTTGATGATCTTAGTCCAAACCTCTGGTGAGAAAGGTGATGGGAAATTTCTATCTCTTCAAGAAATGCCCATTTAATTTTCACAACCAATTAGCTGACAGCACTCAGTGGTCAGCTTGCCTCTTGTGGTGCTTACCAAATAAAAAAATAAATAAATAAATAAATAAATAAATAAATAAATAAATAAATAAATAATAAGGCCAATGACAGCAAAATCTCTGCTAAAAGAAAACAAGATTTTTCCATTTTTAACTTAGCAGGATTTTAAATAATCTTTATAGTCAACTGCACTCATTTAAACCCTTTTGTCCCCTTTTATGTTGGTTCAGACTCATTCACTTCCTAACTTTTTTCTTTTTAATCTGTAGCCTTCCATTCGAAAAACTACTTGGATTTAATGGATGGAACAACTTAACGACTGTGGATAAAATCACAGTCTGGTTGCTTTTATTGTGAAACTTATGAGGCGCCTCGTCTTTGACTAGACTTGTCAGACCTCAAAATGAATAGTGCACCATATGAGAAAATGCAAAATCTAGCATTAAGACATTTATAGCAACTAACTTAAAAAACTAACATTGACTGACAAAAAGCACCTTAACCAAAAGTAAAACAAAAGGCTGAGTAGCACTCGTGGGAAATGGGTAATTGAGCAGAACATATGTTCTGGCGAAACATTGCATTCATTTCTCCCAGCAGAGGATGAATCACACTATTGTCTGAGTCACTAAATTACATAAGTGCTATGAAAAACTCACTCAGTTCAATTGCTTTGCAGAAAAGGGCACAAATTGGATGACCACAGCTCAAGTGAATGAATTAAGTGCTGCACACTTTCGACGAAACTGCCTAAGTTCGGAAACTACTGTTATTTACAAAACTAAACATAGAATTTTCCTTCTTTCTGAACATTTCACCAAGTGTTTATTTTAGCAGCATTTCTTAGCCCTTAATAGGAAAAAAATCTCAGTCAGATCCACTACTTGCACTACAACTTTGATTTCACCTTTCTCCATATTGTTTCCAGTATGAGAGAAATAGTAAATTGCAACAAAATGTTGTAGCTCTAAACATTCTCTAACATTTCTGGTCCCCATGTGTTAATACTTTATGTGATTCACCCACAACAACACGCCCCCGCCCCCAAAAGTGTGGTGCCAGGCTGTTTGATTCTGCATGTCAGGCTACAGTGAAAATTCTTTTGGCATGACAAATGTGAGGCGTGGCACAAAGCAGATGGTAAAAATCACTATTGCTGGGTATAAACAAAAAAGGAGGGTGCATTTACGGATGATAGGCTGACAGATGAAAGAGGTTGAGACCGGGCTCTAGGACAGCAAAGGTCCCTCAAGAGGCCAGGCAAGAACAGACACATCCCTGAGCATTCAGACGAAACAAAACCACAGAATGAGGGCTATAATTCAGCAGAGAAGTGTCCTCTCTAGAAAAGGTCACAACCTGTATCCTTTTCAAGGCTCAAATGAAACTGGGCATCGTGTTGGCGTTTCTGAAAAGCTATTTAAAGAACGTGATTAATAGTGTCCTCTGCAAAAAACAAAATTGTGACCAAACGAGGAAAAAAAAAATTAAACACAGCAAAAGTGATAATGATTAAGAAAAACTGATCATTCAAGCTGGAAAAAAGCATGAGAGCTAAGAACACAACCCTGCTGAGTTTTATGTGGGCATACTCACAGATATCTGGCGATTCATCTGAGCCATCTGGACAGTCCTTCTCTCCATCGCAGCGCCAACCTTTGGAGATACAGGTCACCTGGTCCCTGCAGGCAAACTGCTTTGGATTGCAAGTCCTGGGTACGTCATCAGATTTGGGAGCTGAAAAAAGGCAGAAGAATAATAGTGTATTAGGAGTAAAATAAAACTAATACAAAAAGAGATCATTGTTTTTGTGTATGTGTCAGTAAATTAGTAAAGATCTTAACTTGGTAGCATAGAGCAACACATACAGGTCAAGACAAGTTTAACTGATGTTTTTTGAGCATGAAAACACACATATGCACACTAGCTTAAAATAAAACATCTAAAAGTGTCACAACTAACAGTGGGGCTTTTTTATTTGTAAAGTTTGTTTGTGGTTTCCACTTCTAGCTTACAATTTCTCTCTGCTTTTTTTTATTACTCCAAAGGTGTTTTTCAGCCTTAACCACAAAGGTTCTTTCATGTGTCACAGCTAAGATGTAACTGGGCATTCAATCACCATCTTGCCCATGGGAAAGTGCAGAGCACGGCAGTTCTGGGCAGCGAGTCAACACAGATTGTTGAAGTATACCGTGGGCAAGCTGCACCACAGCGCACTCATGACCCACCAGACGTCTGACACAGTTGCCACGATTTCAGGGAAAAAAAAAGAAAGCTGAAAAGTAACCTTTTCTTCAGGCAGCATCCGTCTGACAGCACTAAATTTTTCCATAGCTTCTACTTTTATTCATCTGGTGGCAGCTTAATTTGGTGAATTTATGTTTGAAGGAGCAACCTGCTTTTACAACAGCAAATCTACTTGGTGGATCCTGATAGCATTTTCTAGCTGAAAGTGAGGAACACATGGTCAAAGTGGGCCTTAATCTAAGATATTTTTGAGGAACATTGATCCCCTTGGATAAATAAAAACAGAACTGTCTGAATTTTTATAATACATGGATTAGCATCAACAGCTGCAACACAAACTTACACGAAAAAAGTAAAGTCTTAAACATGTATGCTGTGGTATTTTGCAGATAGTACAGAGATGACAACAGAGAAAGTGGACCAAGTTTATGTTTTTTTTTAGGGATGACAACTTCAGTCTTTACTTGGAAGTGCAGYTAATTCATAATAATTATAACAACTGTTTGTCAAGCTCAAACATTTAGTTAAGTACTTTCAACAGACCACATCTGCTGTCTATGTGCTTTTGCAAATATTGCACGAGCATGTTGGCTCCTCATTTAATTGTAAAGGGAAGGAGCAGGACTGGATAAAACCTCYGCGAGTATCAACATTGTAAGTAACCCATGTCTGACTGACAGAATGCAGTGGCTCGAACAGATTGTCTGAAGGTATTTCCCTTTACCCTGATAGAGTAGTGCTAACAAAACTCTAACTGAATTTTTATTAAAATCAAGCACTGATTCTTTTAAAGTTTTAAAACAGTTCCAACTATTGAAATACTTTAAAGCTCCAACATAACCAGTAAAATCCATAAAATTTGTCTTCGCATAATTTGTTTAAACAGACACTAAATGGAACTGCTGAAATATTTTTAATCTGTATGCTGTAATTGAGGAAACAAACATTAACTCTAATAATAATCACTGAAATTTTTTATTATGAATAAATAGTTCAAGATAAACCAAAACTCCAGTTAATGTCTACTGTTCTTGTACAAAAGGGAGGGAAATGTGTTGCCAAATGTATTCAAAAAGGAAATGCCTTCCTTCATTTTTGTGGTAAAAAGCACTCAGTCTTTAAATAAAAAAACCCACAGTGGTCATGTCATTGTAGGAGGTTGTTGCTGTACTGTTGCTCGGGGAAGGACAGCACTGAAGGTCTCATTGTGATTCTCTGCAGGAACTGAGCCCTTGCTCGCCTTGGATGACTTGCCTTCCTATGTATTTGGCAGGCAGGGAGGTGTTTAGGGTGGGTGGTGGAGGGGAGCACCGCGAGAGGACTGAGATGTGACTGAAATTACAAGAGAACATGAAGCTAGTGTTTCATTGCAATCACGTTCCAAGCGATTGTCAGGCTAACCCTGGATCTTTTTTATAGGTGGAGGTGCTGAACAATACAAATTCATATTATCTTTTTTTTTGTATACACTATTAGAGGCTGAAGAGTTGTGCCGATCCAGTTACAACACAGCTATTATATGAACTGCATTCTGATACTTCAGGAGATTACCAGACAGTGTTGAGTTTCAAAATTTAGAGCGTCACAATAACTCTGGTCTTCTGTTCGCACAATGCTAGGCACGAGGCTTACAAGTGCTGCCGCAAGATAAGTCAAAGACATGATGTCAACTTTGAGATAAGACTGAGAGGTGTACCGAAAAGGAAAAACAGCACTGATTTTGCTGATTAGTTTGGCTTTTTTTTTCATTGCACAAGGTCCTGAAATACTTTGCATTTCAGCAAACATACTAATTTAGAAGTTTTTACACTGTAGCTTAGGCTAACTTGTCACCGTTTCCCCTTACTATACATACATACTTATATACCTCTATGTTTTGTGAATTCTCAACGTAGTTCAGGCTTTTAACAATGCTTTTTGAAAATTAGGGGGTTGGCAGAGGCACAGGATTATCTGTCTCTAAAGATTTTTCAGGGGCATACTTGAAACTAAGGATTAAGACCTTACAAATAATGCATTTTATGAGCCTATTACTTCACTGGAAAGTGTTTATTGCCACAAAAACATGGTAATTTCTCGTTTGAAGTTTTACATTTGGCATCTCTCTCTTTTATCTTCAATAAAAATAAAATATACCAAAAATATTGTTTTATTGCTTTATTATAATATTTAACGCCTAGTGTTAAGGTTAATCTTCATAAACAAACAGATGTAATGTCGGTTGTAAGATGGATATTTAGATTTTTTTTTTTTTTCAAATTTTATGACTATAGTCAAATTGGGCCTGTTAATGTAAAAGGAATCTGAGACAATCTGGTAGATATATCAAGTTCTAAAGTGGGTCTAACATGTTGCAGTGGAAAATTTAACCTACTTGTATTTGAGACATCAAATTAAGTGTCATGAAATAGGGGTAACACTGGGAAATGGAATGTGGCCCTAATTTGTCTTAACAACCCAAACCAGCCTTAAGCTGAAATGAGTTACAGCACTGAACCCCATGTCCACTGAAGGCATTTTTTTCACACTTTGATTTCTGTGTGATGCAGCTGGGTTGAACGAGTTGTTCCTTATGAGCAAGCATTAAACTGAAAATAAAACATTGTGGGTTCTATTTATAGCATCGTTCTTTACACGCCACCATGAAATGGCCACAGAGGGAGAACCTCGAAGCCTAACTGGAGGTTGTGGCTGAGGAGGGGTTGAGGACTTCGGGAAAGATGGACAGCCCTCCCCTTCAGCAGTTCTTCAAAGCCAACTGAAATATTTCTAACAAGGATGCAAGTTATTAACACAACTTGCAAAGGCATTAGGCCTCTCTTGTAAATGAGAAAATTGTGTGTCAAGGAGATGAAACTGTATTATTAATAAAGGAACTGAAATGAATTAGGTTGAACAAAAATATTCACAAGTTTCAAGTCAGGTGTGTTCCATTCTTCACTGGTTCTATTTTACCCCTCAGCTTCACAAGCACTGAACCCTACATGGGAGTCACTCTGTCACTAAAGCTTTACCTAACAGATGTTTAAATCCCAACATGTCGCTATAAATTCTTAAGTTACTTATAGCAATGTGGATGTACAGGACTTGATTGGACTACATGCTGCCAGCTCTATTGTGCACTTACTGTGTTTCCTTATGCAGGGCTGCTGGACCTCATCTGTCTAAACAGTGCACAATGAATTGCCCTCAGGCACTACGCATAGCAGAAAGCATGCGCAAAGGAGGAAATGCATAAATATAGACAAAGCTTTATAGAAATGTCCCTCTTGAGCCTAATAAAGTCCTTTAAAGACTAAGTGTTCATTCACAAAGTGCCATTTAAGCTCCCCTCTGTTTTTATGTAATCCCAAAAATCTATCTCAAAGTCTGAGAGGAAGTCTTTGGGATGGTAAAGTGTGGGGCAGTTGGGTAAATGATGTTGTGGCACACCACGGTTCAGCAGCCAAGAGATGGAGGCCTCCAGACAGACATCAACACCAGCTGGGATGCAACAGTGACCTATTTTTCCTCTTCCTGTCTGAATGTAGCCATCTGACTCCACATATCAACTCCAGATCCATGCAGCACATTCCAGCACCTTCTAATTGGTTTCATGTGTGTAACTGCGCCTCAAAAAGACAAAGTGGTGTAGAGGAACAGTTTAACTTTCAAAATTAAGGAAAACCTTCTGAAGTTTTTATGATTTAGGAAGTGGCTTTTGGCTCTGATATTTTTATTATGAGTTTGATTTAATCCAAACTGACACATAATCATGATTATCACTAAAGTTTAGAGTTTTTGATAAATGTTTTAACTCTTATTTTAAGAGCACAACCCTATAGACCGAGCACATATGGGTACTTAACGGACCCAATGAACTTGCAGATAATTTAGAGGCTGAGCAACAGAACATGGATTCTAACGAATGCCATTAAACGATAACAACACAAATGGGAATGTGAAATGACGTGAAGGAGTAAATAAATAGGAGTCAGGGTCTTTGTAGTCTTGCTGGGTGCAATAACAGTGACATGAGAAAGGACCATTTCACATCAATCATCACCTCAAGCCTTTCCGGCCCCCCTAGTGTTGAACTCAGATCTTCCAGGTTTGTAAAAAAAGAGTTGAAAGAAAAGCAAACTGACAACAGTAAGCAATTAGACCCACTGTGTTAAGTTTGAAGAAAGACAAAATTACCATACAACTGGACTGAATTTAGTTGAATTACACTATTGGTTAACTCCACATTAAAAGCAATAAAGACAAACAGGATCCATATAAAAACAAAGCCATTATTATTTGCCCTTTTTTTTACTAAGGTGATTTCACCAAAAAGAAGGCAGGTGATTAATTTAGCAAAACCGTATTTTAAACACATTCTGGTCATGTCCAAAGCTACATGGATACTGGCAAGGCATCTTTGATACCTTTTCAGGACTATTTGGACGAACTGTTCATCCATCACCATTCATCTCTCTCTTTGGGGTGGCTCCAGCAGAAGCTTCCCT